TTGCCTAAAGTTCAACAAACTTTAGTTTATCTATTTTTTTTCTTTCACACTTAGAAAGCATCTGTACAGGTTTTGTGAACAACTCCCAAATGCTCACATTGACTGAATGTATAATATGCAACTTTATTTGAAATAAAAGCTTACAAAACAGTACATTTATATTGAAAAATACTGTCATTTTTCTAAACTTCCAACAGAACATCTCTTTTCTAAGTCTCCTTGAATTTGGACATTGACCACTAAAATTTCTTTCTGAAAAAAAAAATAGATCGTATGTTATTTATTGCCAAAAGAATTAAATAAGTCAGTACAGCTGGCTAGACAATTTTTTCCTTTCATCACTATTTCTTGTTTTATCCCTTTTGAGAAAGTGCCCCTAAATGCAAACTTGCCTCTACAAACAGACAAGAAAACTTCTTAAGACTGATGTCAAATAATGGTTGACTTCAGCTAGCACCACTAAGCCATTTGAAATTCATCTTTACTAAGATACAAGTATCAAACAATCAATGGGATATAAACAGTGGGGCAACATCTTTAAGTACTGGGGGAGATTTGGCCTGTAATTTCTTACCCAGTAAAAATATCTTCCAAATATGAAGCCATCATAATAACTTTTTAAGATACATAACATGTAAAATAGTTCCTCATTACCAGATCTGCACTGTTAAGAAACATTAAAGTAGGTCCTTCAATCAGAAAAAAAATATTTCCAGATTGAAACTTAGATCAATACAAAAAAGCTAAGGCCACCAGAAGTAGTAAATATGTAGATAAATGTAAAACTTTTCTATAGTTAAATCTCTTCCAAAGATAATTAGCTGTTTAAAAAAAGATTAGAAAAAGGTAAATAGGAGTTTAACAACAAATATAAATACAAAACACAAGACAATAATAACACAAAGACCAGGAGAGGAGAAGCAAGCGTATAATGTGTTAAAGTCACTTTACTACACAGGAAAGTGTTCGTTGTTCAGTCATGTTCAATTCTTTGCAAGCCATAGACTGTAAGCTGCCAGGCTCCTTGGCCCATGGAATCTTCCAGGCAAGAATCCTGGAGTGGGTAGCCCTTCCCTTCCCCAGGGCATCATCCCAACCCAGGGATCGAACCTGGGTCTCCTGCACTGCAGGTGGGCTTTTTACTGTCTGAGCCACTAGAGAAGCCCTATGCATGAGGCAGTATAATAGTAACTGGAGGTAGAATGTGAGCAATTAAAACTGCACACTACTAACACTTAAGCTATCATTCAAATAACACAACAAACGCTGCTATAACTGTTCTGTTATTTGAGTGATTGTTTTAGCATACACAAACACTAAAATATTGGTTCACTAAAATGAGCCAAAAGGTGATGAAACAAATCCTCAGAGATAATTTACACAACAGAAGAGAGAAAATAAGGGAAGAAATGACAAAGAACAGAAGAGACAAATAGAAAAGAAATAACATGATAGTAGATTAAAATCTATGTAGTAGTGGTTTAGTCACTAAGTCCTGTTCAGTTCTTGCAACCCAATGGACTATGGCCTGTCAGGCTCCTCTGTCCATGGGGATTCTCCAAGCAAGAATACTGGAGTGAGTTGTTGCTTCCTTCTCCAGGGGATCTTCCCAACACAGGAATCAAACCTAGCTCTCCTGGATTGCAGGCAGACTCTTTACCAACTGAGCTATGAGGGAAGCCCCTAGATTATAATCTAATCATATCACTAATCACATTAAATATATGATAACATTAAAAGCCCACTTAAAATTCAGACATTATCAGACTGGTTACAAAGATAAGACCCAACAAAACAATGCCTAAGAGAAAAGCGCATCAATGTCTTTTCTCTCTACTAACAATAATTTTTGTCTTTGCCTTTAAGTGTGTATTAGGATAATGTGCTTAGAACCTAATTTTTGTGTGTATTTATCCATCCTTGTACTTATAGAATTTTCTGTATTCTTGACTTGATGGTTTTAGTTAGTTTATAAGCTATATATATGCAAAATTATAATATCTAAAATCTGTGAAGAATGAAAATTAATTTTGGGAAAAGTTAGCTAAGTTTAATTATCTTATTTTTAAGAGAAACTTGAGTAAAAAAATATTTTTATTTTTAAGTAGGAAAAACCATTCTTGTGCATACCACATACTATGTACCATATCTTCTACTTTGTATAGACACTCTTAGATAAAAGTAAATCATAACTTTTTAAAGAGAAAACTAAATTTTTTTTACTTACACTATTGAATTTCCTTTTGGGGGAAAAAAGAAATAACACAAAAAGAAAAGGCTAATATAATAGTGAAAAAATGGACAGAAAATGCCATTTTCTGTTAAAAAGAGCACTGAAAAACAATATTACATCATTATACCTACAACTTAACTGATCATACTAAATGTGCTGTGAAATATAGTTATGGCAACTGCTATGGTCGCAAAGAGTCAGACACAACTGACGACTCACACAAACATATCTTCTTTCAGATTCCACATATAAATGATATCATATATTTGTCTTTGACTTAATCCATTTACTATGATAAAATCCAAGTCCATGTTGCTGCAAATGGCATTATTGCGTTCTTTTTTATGGCTGAGAAATATTCTAATGTATTTATGTTCCATATCTTCTTTATCCACTCAACTGTCAATAGATACTTAGACGGCTTCCCTATCTTAGCTACTGTAAATAGTACTGCTATGAACAAAAAGATGTATGCATCTTTTTAAATTAGAGTTTTCATCTTTTCTGGATATATGCCCAGGAGTGGAAATACTGGATCACAGGGTAACTCTATTTTTCGTTTCTTAAGGGAGCTCCCTACTGTTCTCCATGGTGACTGAATCAATTTACATTCCCACCAAGAGTACAGAAGGGTGCCTTTTTCTCCACACTTTCTCCAGCATTTGCTATTTGCAGACTTTTGATGATGGTCATTCTGACTGGTGTAAGGTGATACCTCAATATAGTTTTGATTTGCATTTCTCTAACAATTAGTGATATTGAGCATCTTTTCATGTGTCTGTTGACCACCTGTATGTCTCTTTGGAGAAATGTCTATTTAAGTCTTCTCTTTATTTGGAGGGGAAGACTTTGCTTTTCTGATATTGAACTGCTTGAGCTATTGTTGTATTTGAAAATTAAGCCCTTGTCAGTAGCATAATTTACAAGTATTTTCTCCTAGTCTGTAGGTTGTCTTTTTGTTTTATTTATGGATTCATTTGCTATGCACAAGCTTATAATTTTCATTAGGTACCATGTGTTTATTTGTTTTGCTTTGGGAGACTGACCTAAGTAAACATTGGTACAATTTATGTCAGAAAATATTTTGCCTATACTCTCTTCCAGGAGTTCTGGGGGTCTTGCCTTATACTTAAGACTTTAAGTAATTTTTATTTTTGTATATGGTGTGAGGGAGTGTTCAAATTTCATTTATTTATATACAGCTGCCCAACTTTCCCAATACCACTTGCTGAAGAGACTTCTGTTTTGCCAATGTGTATTCTTGCCTCCTTTGTTGAAGATTAAGTGACTGTAGGTGTGTGGGTTTCTTCTGGGGGTGGCTGTTCTGTTCCATTGACCCATATGTCTGTTTCTGCACCAATACCATGCCGTTTTGGTTGCTGTGGCTTTATAGTATTATCCAAAGTCCAGGAAAGTTAGGCCTCCAGCTTTATTCTTTTCCTAAGAATTGCCAAAGCAATTGTGTGGTTCCAGATAAATTTTAGAAGGATTTGTCCAGTTCTGTGAAAAATGTCATGACTAATTTGATAGGGATTGCCTTAAACCGACAGATTACTTTCTGTAGTATGGCCATTTTCCCAATATTAATTATTCCAACTCAAGAGCATGGGATACTGTATGTTACTTTTAATTCATAAGCATTGTCACAATATTCTCTCTGAAGACTCCAACTGTCTGCATTCTTTATAAGGTTCACAGTGATATATATACACCCATACATGTATATACACACAGAGACACACATACACATCAATCACAGTTCTTGTTCCAGCTTTTATCCATCAACTTCATCCATTTATATAAAAGGCAATTGAATGTAGACTATGGTTGCTCTCTTCATTTCTCTCTATGAGATTCTCACGATTGACTTAGGGACTCACTGATCTCCTGAAATTGCCCTAACAAAAATAATGAATGACCTTTTTCATCACTAGATAAATGAGAATCTATTTTTTTTCATGTTTCCAGTATCTTCAATACCCACATGGTTAATCTTTATTCCCTTATGAATTCCCTAATATTTCTGGATTTCTGAGGCTTTATTGAATGATAGCACTTTCAAAGCACTCTTTATTTTGATTATTTCTATATAACTCTTGTGATATACAATTATGTAAAGTTAAACTGAATGTTTTACAGATTTAAACTTTACTGAAGATCATTACCTCATTTCATTTTACTTACTGTTTATCAGTAGTGTGTTGCATATTATAGCATTTAATAAGTAAATTCAAGGAAAACTATGAATCATTAAAAAAATGTTAGCATCTTCTATTTATAAAATGGTAGCAAAACAATAATAATAAATAAACTACTTATTTTCCATTTAGCAGCAATATGTGTTAAGCATGAAAGATATTGAATGGTAAGTAACATAATTAGAAATGTGTTTTTAAAAACTCAATTGAGCCTGTACCTTCGCCGCGGCTGGGCGGCTAGTTCAAGTTGCCATAGCTGCGAGTCTGGGGAGAGCGGAATCGGTTGCGTCGCTGCGTCTGGTCAGTTACACCTTCTTGGGTCGCCGGTGGCCGCGGGAGCCGGGTGGGGCCTCGGCAATGACCCGGCGTTAAGGACCTGGGGTCCTCTTCTAGTTCAGGTGGTTTGGGGAAAGTGTAGGGGCAACCAAAGATCCTCCACTTGACTAGGCCTCTTGCCCTGAACCTCATGAAGAAATGGTAAGAGGCAGACATACGTGCCTAAGAAGAGCTCTGAGCTCAGAGGACAGCAGCCTGGAGTTTGGGGGGTATGCTTTGACTTTTGTACATCAATGGCAGAATCCTCCAGCGATTCAGACCACTTCTGCTCTCGTGACCGATTGAGTCGATGGGCTGCCAGTTCAGTACACAGGGAAGTTCGACATCGTCCTGCTGTGGGTGTCACGGAGAAGGTCAACACGATCACCAGTACTTTACAGGACACCAGTCGGAACCTGCGACAAATCGACCAGATGCTTGGACATTATCGAGAATATAGTAATGGCCAGGCGGGGGCTATAGAACATTTAAAAGAAAGCTTGGAACAATCGATAGGCCAATTGCGGAGTCAACGCTTGTCGAGAAACTTAGGAGGGAGAAGTATTTCTGTTACAAGTCTGAGTACAAGTGACCTCGATGGTGGCACTGTGACAGAGAGCTACCGCTTTCAACCTACCTCGCCTCTCAAGGACTATGGGGATCAACAGGGTATTAAACGAAATAAGTCCAGACCTGGTGTCCGATTTGTTCCGGACACTGATGACGTGGGCCAGTTTCATGCTTTTCATCAGTCCCTCCGAGACCTCAGCAGTGAACAAGTTCGCCTTGGAGATGATTTCAACCGGGAACTTGCCAGAAGAAGCCAGTCGGATGCTGCAACAAGAAGGGCTTTGGAAGAACTGACTGAAAAACTTAATGAAGCCCAAAAACAAGATGTGGTTTCAGATCGAGTGGAGCGGCGGCTTCAGGAAATAGAGAAAGAGATGCGAACAGAAAGAGAGCTGGTGGAAAGACAGCAGGATCAACTGGGACTTATTTCTCAGCAGCTCCAGGAGGCGCTGAAGAAACACGAAGCTAAAGCAGAGGAGAATGAAGAAGTGAAGCGTAAGCTGAGGCAGACGGAGAGTGAGGAGAGGAAAGTAAGATTCTGAAGTTATCTGTCAGAGCGCGCTAATGCTTGGGGCCACTGACATTGATTAAATGCCTTGAAGAGTGTCCTGAAGTCATTTGCTCATTAGTCCAGTGAGGCCTCTATGTTTTGATGTGAAATTGCTTGGCTTCAGGGCTCTGCCACTCTCTGCTACTTGCTCTTGGAAATTTGCACAGGTCGTTTGCTAGCTTGTCTTCTGGCCACTTTGCTTTCTCAGAAGGGGATTAAACTTGACCATTCCTTGTTGGAGAACATTTAAAGAGCTGGACTTTGCTGCAGGGTTAGGAAAGATCTGTTGTTTAAAGGCTGAGTATTTTGCATATGTTCATTTTCACTACAGAAGATAAAAATAAACAGCCTGGTTCTGAAAAAAAAAAAAAATAAAAAAATAAAAACTCAATTGAGGGTGGAATGTGGCTAGATTAAAGTTAGAAAGTTAAAAGGTATGTAATGTATTCTTATCAGGACTAAACTGTATCTTAAAAATATGAAAGTGTTACTAAATATTGGTAGCAAACAATGACTTTTCACAACTAAGGACAGTTTTAAGTGCCTTTCAGGTTCTTGAAGTTTTACCTATTCAGTACTGAAATTATTATTTTCCTCTTCCAACGAGCCTGCTTTTCTTCTTCCAGTGTTCCTACATTAGTGAATGAAACCACAATTCAGACAGTATCGTCAAATGGAAACCTGAGAGTCATAGGGAACAATTTTATCTTCATTACTCTCTACAACCAACATGTTCTACATATTTTATTTCAAAATACTTCTTGACTCCATCTACTTCTCTCCATTCCCACTGTAAACTTCATTAATAAACTCCAATAACCCTACAGGAGAATTGTTGCAATACTCTCAAAATTCAAGTTGCTTTCTTCCAATTTTTGCCACACTGAATAGATCTTTATAAACAGAAAATCTGATCATGTTCTGCCCAGAATAAAATGCTCTAAGGGCTCTACATTGGAACTTTCCACCAGTAAAGTCTACCATGTTTGACCAGGTGCTTCCTGATCTGTGACTCCTTCTCTCTCAAGCCACATCCCTTGCTGCTTCTTTGCATTTCAGACTTGTCAACATCTTTAAATTCCCTAAACCAATCATGGTCTCTCTAGTCTTAGGGACATTACACATTCAGTTCCTCTGTCTGGAATTCTTTTCCCTGCCTCTTTCTCTGACTAATTCCTACTCATTTGTAAGGTTTCAACTTACAGGCAATATCTTTCAGCAAGTTTTCCCAAACTCCTAAGATAATTGATTCTTATGTATTCCCATAATCAACCTGTTCTTTCACATAACTTGTAATGCATTGTAATTTTCTGTTCACGTGTCTGTTCCCCCAACAGTACTACTTGAAGAAATCACCTACAATAATATTTTTCACTATCATCTCCTTAAAATCTAGCACAGAAAATAAAATATGGTAGGCATATATACACACACACACACATTATATATATATAGACACATATGATGTATATATTTCATTAAATAGCTGAAGGAATTATCTTGAAACATCTAATCTATATTTGTTAGTTTTTTAAAAAAGTAATTCAAAAAATATATTTCACTCAAAAATGTACTGTACTTTTATTCTTCTCAAATTATATTTTCATTTAATGTGTCAATAATAGTTTAAAGTTGTTGATATATTATGAAATTCTATACTTATTATTTCTTTTTAAGTTTCATTCCTTTATTCTGGCTCGACATTTGTCTCCTGAAATGTCACCCTTTGGTAGTCATAATGCCTACATATGACAAATATAGTTGACAGGTTCCGGATGCTATCTTATCAGATGAACTGTCCCCATACCGTCATGAGTCTAGCCAGAACAAGTAGCATCACTTGACAAGTTTGTCCCTACATAATCCTTCGCCCTCTTCTGTTTGAATTAAGAGTGGAGACCTAACTCATGAACTGAGCAAACTCAGTTCTCTCTCTCTCTCTCTCTCTCTCTCTCTCTCTCTCTCTCCTCTCTCCCTCCAGGATTTGGACTCTGAAATACAAATATACCCATCAGTTGATTGTGTTTCTGAATCTAGATCATGCTTCTCAGAGAAGAAAGATGTGCTGTCATTTTTTGTGTTATGTGTGATGAAAAGCTAGTTGAGACAGATTTACAAAGAAAAGGAGAAATTGAGGCAGACACAAAAGAGACAACTGGAGATAGAATATGCTTTTCTTATAGGGAGAAAAAAAGAAATCAAGTAGCTATTTTTGGTAAGTAAACATCTTCCAGATTCTAATTCTAGAATCTCTTGAAATCTAACTATATTACCTCCACAAGGTTTCCATGGTGTATCCTGGTAGTTCTTTATCTTAGACTATTCAATTTAAGCCAGTTCTTTTCTATTCACATTCTCCCTACATGCATGTGTATTTTAACCACATTTACTGAATAAATAAATATGAAGGGATGAGAAGGAAGAAAAGAACGAAGGGTGGGAAAACAGAGAGAAAAAGCAAGGGAAAAGACAAGGAAGATGGGACAGAAGGAATAAAAGTTCTTATCTAATAGGGCTTGTAAATAAACTAGCTAGAGAACCAAATATAAGCATACAGAAAAGTATAATATCTTAGGCATAATTTTATAGCTTTAAAATCAGAACTGTTAAAAAAAATTCTCAAGCTATAAAACAGATGTGCTGTATTCTTCAGAATGAGTTAGTCAATGTTTGAGGCAGAGCAGGGATAAAGGTATGTGAAAACTTTATGGTATTGGGACTCATGAGCTCAAAATATAATTATGGCCTATAAATAACTTTCTCACTTATTTTTAAAGTAGTCATGCTTTCTTTTCAGATTAAATAATTCTATAATTTGAATGTTTTCTGTGAGTGGAATCCCAGAAAATATCACATGGAGTGAGTAACAAATTAACATTATAGACAATAAATCTTTTTCTCTGGAAAGAAAGTCTTCTTCCAAAGAGTGGCATCAGAAAATTTATGAAGAAGATAGGATTTTGGTTATGTCTTAAATTATTTTTACAGGCCCAGATATATGAAGACCAAAATTCACATACAAGAAATCTCAAATACCATCCTGTCTAGAGGGTGCTTCTTTTTGATTGAATTTTAAGATTTATGAGTAAGTGTCAGATTGTAGGGAAACTTGGAAGCTAAACTCAGGACTTTATTGTGCAATAAGGAAACTGTAAAAACCTGGAAGGTAGGATAAAATACAGACTGAAGAGAGACAACAGTCAACAAATGATATAAATCGAATAAACAAAAATTCTTAGATAACCTTATTTGGAAATTTTCTGATATACAGTGTTACTTCCTTGGAGCCTATGCCGCTTTCCCATCACAAACTTGTGCCCAGTAGCAGAGAGCTAAACACAAGGCACGTCCCTGGAAAGATTTTTGCCAACCAACTCTTTCTCCACATGGAAAGAGCTTCTGTGTCCCTGCTGTGTGCTCTGAGTGGCTTGCACTTGCCCTGCCACTTCTCAATTCCATGCAAGATATTATTAAGATTTATTTAACCCTGGCTTTCCCTACCAAAAGCTTCTTGAAAATCTCATGTTCTTTATTCACAGAATGACTCACACTAGTAACAGACTAGGACTTCAAGTCAGAGATCTTGTCACCAGGCAAGGTCAGCTCTAAGGGTAATCTGGTGTCTGCCAGGCTTATGCTTCAAGGAGTTGATAAAACTACCATACCTCGCCGCAGCTAAACAATCTGCCTAGAATGTTGACACAGTGGCACTTTGCCTGGTTTATTTCCTGGAATTCTTCCCCCCTCTAAGCTGCTCAATTTATATTTTTAAATGAGCTGTTCTCTTAATTACTGAACCTTTGCAGAACATTATACACTTACAAAGTACTCTTACACATCCTATAAATTATTTTCATTCACAAAAAGATAGACGGTATTCATGACATATCCATTTTTTACATGGAGAAACTTTAAGCAAAAGATTGCCATCCTATCACACAACTAGAAAGAAAAAATGAATCAGTTATTTGTATCACTCCTTGAGACACAGTATTACTCTGAAAATCATAGTTATAAACTCTGTTCTGTTGCTTCTGTATGGCCTCAAGAAGTCTTTCTCAGTCTATGAAAGTAGACAAAGGATTCAGAGTTGCCTTTCCTGAAACACAAGCTAAGTAAAAAGATCAAAATTTCACCAATCAGATAGGCAAGCTGAGCCTTCAACTAATTGTAAACATTGAAGCCGTGATCAGGCAATACAGTCATTTTGAGAAATACATGCTATAATACTATAAACTTTCACTCTAATTCTTTCAAGAGTCTTGTTCATATTTTATATTTACCATGACACTTTTTAGTATATACTGTGTTTACGAAATACACCCACCACAAAACTTTAAGCTGCCCTGAACCCTGAGTTTATACTCACTTGATCAAAAAAGTTATTTCTAAGTTATTATGTAATATGTCCTAAGAAAATGAGTCTATAACCCTTCTACACCACCATTTTACATTAAAAATTGGAAAAACTACGGGATTTCCCTGCAGTTGCAGTGGTTAAGTATTCGCCTTGCAATGCAGGAAATACAGGTTCCATCCCTGGTCAGGCCGTAAGATCCAACACGCCAAGGGGCCACGAGGCCTGCACTCACAGCTACTGAGCCTAGGAACTCACTGAATTATTTAGTCTTTCCTTGAGGTCACGGAAATAATGAGTTTTGATAATAGTCCAAGTTTCAGTAAAAAATATCAGATGTATATGGCTTATTATTTACCTGCAAATATTCTGCTACTAGCAAAACAGCTTTTAGTACTTAAACTGAAAAGTAGACACTTAAAATTAAGAGACTTCTGCAGTGGAGTAATCCCAAATATTTTTAAAAGCCTCAGAAAAGCACTTATCATGAGAAATTTCTTCTTTATAGAAACATAGCTGGAATATGTCTCACTATAACTTTCACTACTTATTTCTATGACTATCCCCTAAAGTAGTGCAAATGTCTTTTCTTCAAATAAATGACGGAAATTATGTCATTGAACAAATAATTATTC